AATGTATTTTTGGCTATTGCTACAAATATACCCCAGCGACTTAAGACTGCTTTTGTGCTCCAGGGTCAGGTATAGTGTAATATATCATGAGTACTTATGGCATGCTTACAAGTCAAATTCCCAATTTGCCCAATAAACATGAACTCTATTAACCTTCCATTTATTAGCTTTGAGCTTTAGCCACAATGCCACCAAAACTCAACTCACAAACATACACCAAAATCCCATAATCAATCCACCTAAAGAACAAACATGGATTGTAATTAGTTGTGCATTTACACATCTCTTTTTCAGCGCTGGGCAGTAACTGATTACATGTAATCTGGATTACATAATCTGATTCTATAAATTAAGTACTTATAACTAGATATTACATCTTTAAATACTTGTAATGACTACAGTTAATTTTTTAATGATTACATATTACTCACACAATAGCAATAAAGTATTCATAATGTATTGATTCTCTTTAATTCTTCTTTTTCATCTTTTACATTTTCCTTTTTTAATATAGCCTGCCGCTTATATATACTCAGAAAGTCTGGACATTCACATAAAGACCACTAGTCAGGTGGCCACGCAGCATCTGACCACTGGATTTACAAAAATAATTTCAATTTTAAACATTTCAGCATTGCATCAACTACTAATGAACACATTCATTTTTATTTGAACTATCACTCAGTGGGTTATTGTCTTTTGAAGACCTTTGTCTTTCAAACACATACAAAATGCACAAATTCACATGTAATGCAGGGATTCACAAACAATTTTTTTGTTAGCCAAACCTCTTTCACCTAATAAATTTACTTGAAGCCCCCCTGAGATATTAAAGTCCGTGTAAAGAGAATTCTGAGAATTGTTTCTAAAAACATTATAAATGTTAGACACATAGAAACACATTACAAAGACTCTGAAGTATGTAGTACTGAGTTGTGGAGTTAAACAGTTATTCACCAATTCTGTGTTCATGATTTTTTGGGGGCGGGGCTAAAACGGTGGCTCGATGATGCAATGGAGCCACCGAGCATGGCCCCTCCCCTAACACTGTAAGACGTGTGTTCAACTTGAAGCAGCACTGCGCAGATCGATCGGTGTGTGACATTAAAGTACAGAGCTACAGAGAGCAGACAGCTCCTCATGCTTTCGAATCGCTCTCGTGTCATACACTGATCGTTCTGCACAGCCCTGCTTCAAGTCGAACACACCTAATAACTACAGCGCAGTTACTGCCGTTTGTTACTACAGCCTAGAGGTTGCTAGCTAGCTATGCCTTCGTCACGTAAATGCATAATACCTGGTTGCAATAATTTACAAAACAGCTCGGTCTCCACCTTTAAATAAACTGCAGAGGAAGACAGCTTTTCCGCGAGTGGGCGTGGCTTCAGCGCCGCCAGCGGACACGCCCCCAGCGTCTGCGAGCAGAGAATACTGCTTATTTGTTCAAGATCTTGATAGCTTATTTTATTCACTTGGCGTTTTTTTTTTAGCATTCAAATTTGGCTGGGTGGTTAATAACACATTTTTCTGTGGTGTGATAAACTCAGAACACACATTTAATATTGACTTTACACGGACTTTAAGGTAATAAGTGAATAATTAAGTAACACACACAAGACATTTGCATATTCACGGTTTAAAAGTAATCAAAAGTAGTCTGATTCGATTACCTAATGGATTACATTACTAACCACAGATTTTGTCATGTAATTTGGAATCAGTAATGGACTACAACTGGTAAGTCTGCCTAGCAATGCTCATTTTAATAAGTTAATAATTAAGTAACAAATTGGCATATCACAGTTCAAAAGTAATCAAAAAGTAATCTGACTGTATTACTTAAAATATTTAATGTAATGGATTACATTACTAACCAAAATTTTGTCATGTAAATTGGAATCAGTAACAGATTACAATTTATAAGTAAATCTACCCAGCAATGCTCATTTTAATAAATTAATAATTA